GATGTCTCAACTGATCCGTATTTTGACATTTTAATTCTAACGAACAATATTCAATATCACGAACTGTATCTTTTTAGCAACGGAACCACCAGGATAACCTCAACCGAAGCTCTGATGCCAATTGTTCGGGAAAACGGGTTATTTCCCACACGAACGTTGTTTTAAAATTGACCTAAAATGTCAAAAATTAAAACCACCAAAGGTTGCACAGCGGATAAACCTGTCAAACTATTGAATATTGAAACACAATGGAAAATAACCGAATAAAAAACAATAAAGGAGAGAACACACCAAATTTACGAGGTTCGACGAGAATATCGTCAACTCCTCGGGCACCACACCGGATGATAACTTCACTATATCGCCAATATTACAACAAATGGAATTCTTTGGAATTCCCAAAGTGGGAGAATGAAGAATACAAGAGGAAGAGAGAACTTGGTTTTGGGATGATTTCTAATGGAAATACTTAGGCCTATTTATAGTTGAGTTTCAAGAACAATATGTTCAAAGTTTGGCCACCTACCAAAGAATTTTTCAATGTGTAAAAGTTAGCCACCAAATATGAAATTCACATATTCAAAGTTTGGCCACCAACCAAGATGACATTTCTAATAAGTTGCCACCAACCAAGATGAAATTTCTAACTTGTCAACTTAATTTCTAGACAAATCTAACATTTATTGCATGATTATTTATAATATCGTTGATAGGTGTCAATAAGGAATTGTCTTGACATTGGTACTGACTGAACATCCTAAGAAGTGATGACTTAGATTAGGATTTAGTGATCATATGCGAGGTTCACGCTGATAGTAGGTGATCGACATGTGGTCGTTACCGGTTATTAGCAAGGTATAATCCGCATGCCAGATGGTTCGCATAGTTCTTATGTTCGCGGGGTTAGAGGTTAGCGTGTAGTAACACTTAGAGTCCACTAGTCCGCCCTCGCCAGTTGCCTTGGTGCAATCCCAAACAAGTTGATCCACTCCAGAAAGAATGGGTGAAGTGGCATGTGGAATCCCGCTACAAAAGTATATAGGTGTATGAAAAATCAGAGTTTTTTTTCTCCTCACCGATCGTACTCGAACGATAAAATCCATGGAGAAAAGTAAACTGATACCGAAAGTGATTTACAACTTGTAACCCCCTACACTCTAGTTTTCGGAGCATTTCAGCCGCCGTCGTAGTGCATTTATATTCATAACTCATCACAAAGCCAAGGGTTCACCGGAGGCACGTGTAAAAGAGAAGAGACGAAACAAATTGATAAAGAAACTTGAGCAAAAAAAAAATCAAAACAAAATTATCTAGTAAATTCTAAAACCCACATACGACACTATTTATAAACCCTAAGAAACTTCCATCAAATGTTTCCTCTTCTACGATGAAACGGTCCGTTTTAATAAAACGTGTGGCAGCTCAACAATCCCTCAATTATAACCATTTATTTCAAGATTCAAAAACGTAAAATCCCAAAATTCTAACACCACCCATTTTAGTGCTCTGAGATATCGCTCAATTTCTAGATTCGTGAATGTCACTTTGTAACATCCTCTCACCCGGGGCAATCAAACCCCTAATATACGAACATAAGACTTATGTGAATCATCTGGTATGTGGATCATAACCTGTGAACAACCAATAGCAATCACGTGTCGATTACCTACTATCTGTGCGAACATACTTCATGTATGATCACCAGTAATCATGTGTTAATACACGTGGTATCCCAATATAAGTCACTACTTTTTAAGACATTTAATCAATATATACTAATGTCATGATAAGTTCTGATTGACACCTATCTAGATCATTATAAATAACCATGTAATAGAAATTAAAGGGGACAAACTTCATCATAAAACCAAACCAACACACCACTAGAACTTTCGAAATCACCACTAGAATCACTATTCTATCATCTTTTATGGTTGTTAATCATTTTTCTAGTCAATACAGTTTATCTCCAGCCACAAGAAAATGTGCTATATGTCTAAGAAAACAAATTTAAAGTCTCATGAGTTGGAACAAGAAAAGCTGTTCGAGTAAGGAAAGCACAAAACATTAGAACAAAGATTAAAGTATGGTCGAAGATGCACCTGAAAAATTCATCATTTTAAGTTTGGGTAAAATACTCTAATGGTCATTAATGTTTAGTTAAGTTTTCGTTTTCATTACTGATGTTTCAAAAGTTACAAATCGATCACTAACATTATCGCTTGTTACAAATTGATCACTCGCCGTTAATATGCGTGATGGAAAACACACGTGGCATGTTATCATTAGTTAACAAGCTTACCTTGATGGTATAATTACACAAATTGTTCATGTTATTTATATATTTTTTCAATTTGATCATAATTTTAATAAATTATAATATATTTATTTTAATTCTTATAAATAATATATATTTATAGTTTACCCTTTATTTTTTCATATATTAAAATGTACAGTGTTGAAAAGTTTTTGTTGATATTATCTTTGCGTCCAAATAATTGCAGATTTCTTTCGAGGTTGGTATACAAATGATTTTTGGCCGTCTGGAGGCTGGATATCGAGAGGAGCTGAAGAAGAACTACTTCATAGTCGACAAAGGCTACAATCCCTTCCCTACAAACATTATCGGAACTCTTTTCGCTGCTCAGGACACCACGGCTAGTGTTATGACATGAATTTTCAAGTACCTCTATGACAACCCGAAACTTCTGGAGGCAGTCAAGGTAGGGCCTTGAACAATCCATTTTTTTCTTCCAGTGTCTAGAACGGTCTCTCTTTCTTTATGAACACTATAGTATCATTTATTGATGGTCTTTGTCATTGAAATTCCATGTCCAGGGAGCATAATCTTAATAAAACTAATGGGCGAGCCTGTCTTTGTAGGCTGAACACAAGGCAATTAAAAGATTGACTGAAGAAAGCAATCAGCCTCTGAGTTGGTCATACACAAGGAATATGCCAATTACTTACAAGGTGACTGAGAACCGTGATATTTGTTCCTTTTAGTTGAATCCCCTAAGTTGGATTTAGATACCCGAATCTTGGCTAACAGTGGAAAGCATTTGACTGGGTCAGGTTATATTAGAGACACTGAGAATGGCAAGCATCATATCCTTCACTTTTAGAGAAGCAGTCGCTGATGTGGAATACGAAGGTAAGAATAAATCAACTCATGTACACACAAAAAAAGCATATCGTACGTCAAATAAAACTGAACATAAAATGGCATATAAGGCAATTGCTAACTCTAAAATTACCAACAGGTTACCTTATTCCGAAAGGTTGGAAAGTGTTGCCTCTGTTCAGAAACATTCATCACAATCCTGACATTTTCTCCGATCCTCGAAAATTCGATCCTTCAAGGTTTGAGGTGTGAACAGACAGTCAGACACTAAAGTATTTTCGACATATACATTGCGTTTGGATATTTTCATTTCCCTGGTTCATTTGTGAGTTTGGTATAATCATTTATGGCTTACGATTAAAGGCGTTTCTTTTGGTTTGTTATACATTAGATGAGTTATTCTCATTGTATGATGTAGGTTTCCCCAAAACCCAACACTTTCATGCCATTTGGCAGTGGAGTGCATGCCTGTCCTGGAAATGAGCTTGCAAAGTTGGAGATGCCTATAGTGACCCACCACTTGGTTTCTAACTTCAGGTATATTGTTTGAAACCCAAAGTGAAAAATAATATTTGTCAATTTTTAAGGGAATGTTCTACTATATGATTGTTTTTGGACAACCCTTAAATGATATTCTTGTTCATGTTAGTATTTATTTAAAAAAGTTTGGGGAAGAAAAAAATGTTAATTTTATTTAAAAAAACGTTAATTTTTTGTTTATATTAGTTTACCCTAACATTAAAAAAAGTTAGTTTTTTGTTTTTATAACTAATTTTAAATTTTTGATTTCTTTTTTTAAAAATATATCATTATTTATAAGAATTAAAAATAAATATATTTTAATTTATTAAAACTATGATCAAATTAAAAGAATATATAAATAACATTGACTATTTGTGTAATTATACCATTCAAGTAAGTCTGTAACTGTTGTTAACAGGCCACATGTGTTTTTCGTCATGTCTGTTAAAGGCGAGTGACCGATTTATAACAAATGATAACATTACTGACGAATTTGTAACTTTTGAAACATCAGTAGTGAAAACGAAAATGTACTCAAACATTAGTGACCATTGAAATAGTTTACCCTTTAAGTTTTGAGTGCAGCGATGTACGGAGTTGCTCTCTAGTGACTTCTTCATATGGTGCCACCAACTCTCTGCAGCTCGATGTCTGACGGGAAATGATCTATGATGCCCGATCAACGTAAGATTGATTTGTCAAACATCACAAGAAAAGATGAGAAGATCAAACTAATAATATCATACACAGCGTAGATACAACTACTTAAACTCAGAATTTCATAATACTCCATTTAACTATCACGTCGATATATTCAATAATTGAAGAATATTTAAATTTCAAGAGATACAGTCTAATAAATTGTTAAGATAAGAAACAGAAGGATAGGAGTATTATTGCCAAAACCATATAATTAACTTGTAGTAAGTAGGAAGGAGTAACAAAATTTTGGATTTCAGCAGCTTGTTAACCTTTCCTCTTAGAGTAAAGATTGAATAGTATGACTATAATAATCGAAAAATTAAACAATTCAATTATCATAATTTATAAATAAAATGTTTGATTGTAATTAAAAAGTTAACTGCATTTTTAACGATATAACGATCTGAATGTAATAATCAATTAATTGAGAGATTTTTTTGTAAATTTTTAAAATTTAATGAGACATTTATAGTTTTACTAATATTTGATAGACTTATAGTGTAATTTAACCTTTAATCACTCTACATTGTTTCAGTTGATGGGTTTCATTATGCCGATAATAGCCCAAAAAGATTGTGCTAAAGGGACGAGAAGCTTAAAATAAACCCAAAAGTACAGAAACACGAAACCGCCATTTCGGGAGAGAAATTGAAGGAAATATAGATTGCAATCAGCAAATCATCGCAAAAAAAAAAAAAAAAATCCCAAAATCCATATTGAAAAAACCCTAACCAGGGAACCTTCTCTTAGAAATAATCTAGAACGTCTCCGATTGTGAAAGTTTATGTAGCTTTTGTGTTGCAGATTTATAGAGGAATCCAAGGCAAAAATTTAACGATGGCTATGGAAGTAGAAGAAATGGAGAAGGCGCGAACCCGGAAACGGCCTCGTATTGGTTGGGACGTGGCACCGTCTCGTCCAGAGGTTGGTTCTTATCAGGATCCAAAAGCAATAAGAGAAAATGATAATAGAATTAGGGTTAGGGTTAGAGCATGGTCAGATTCAGAAGGGAGAGAGCTAATCTAAAGAGACAGAAGCTGTTCACTGAGTGTCAAATAAGTGTCTGACCTTTTTGCGGTGGGAAATGTTTTGTAGGAACAAAAAGCTTTGGTGACGTCTCGACGTTCATCACCGCCCAAAAGGGATGATGATCATGAAGGCCATTACGTATTTAATCTCGGTGAAAATCTCACTCCAAGATGTAAGATCCCCCCTTTTTCAGTTATTCACTTTTATCTCTTGCATATATATGATGCAATTTTTTTATCAATGATTTTTGTAATTATGCTTTGACAGATAAAATTCTTAGTAAGATGGGTGAAGGTTAGCTGTCAAAGTGCTCTGCTGTGAGATCTTTTACTTTTTGTGATTCTGGTTGTAGCACATTTCAGCCAAAATTGCTAGTGTTGTAGGCACATTTGGCCGAGTTTTGGAATGTTGGGACCGTCAAAATCGAGAATATGTCGCAATTAAGGTAGTTAGAAGCATACGAAAATATCGTGATGCAGCAATGATTGAAGTTGATGTTCTTGAACATCTAGCTAAGAATGATAAAGGCACCTCACAGTACGTGTCTTCCCATTTTCAGTTTATGGATATTGCATCTGTCTCAGTTGTGCACTTAACAGACCCTTTTGGTTACTTCTTGCAGCTTTGTGCAGATTCGGAATTGGTTTGATTATCGTAATCACATTTGTATTGTAAGTATTCAATCAACCTTCTTCTAAGCATTGTGTGTTCCTTTTCAGTTGTGTATGTGGAATTTTGGTATTGCTAACTCTATTTTAAGAAAGAGATTAGCTTAAAATTTTGCTATGAAAGAAGTTGCTGAAGTGTTGAAGTTTATTGTTCTTTTAGAATTAATGGTGCTTGTTTCCTCAGTTTGCTTTGACCCTTTTTAGGCGAATTAGTTGAAACTCGAAGCTTCTGATGAGATCATTGAATATGTTCTAATACCTGTATTTTGTTTTTTTCCTTGTGGACTTCATTCATGTAAATTGAGACTAAACAAAAACCTTCTTGTGGATGCATTTTAATGGTGTTATCAGGTATTTGAGAGGCTTGGACCAAGTTTATTTGATTTTCTAAAGAGAAATAAATACTGCCCATTTCCTGTGGATCTTGCTCGGGAATTTGGACGTCAGCTTTTGGAATCTGTAGCATGTGTGGATTGTTCTTGCCTCCTATTCATCATATCTCATCTTCTAACCACCCACCTTGTTCTGTTTCTCGGCCTATTTTTCTTGTTCAGGCTTAGTGTTGAGTCACTTATTCTGTCCGTTGTTTTTAACAACTTTCTATGCTTTTAATATATCTGACAGATATGCATGATTTACGCTTAATCCACACTGACCTGAAGCCAGAAAATATTCTTCTTGTATCTTCTGAATATGTAAAGCTTCCTGGCCGTAAGGTATTTGGCCTTCTATAATCGATGATTTATACCATTTTAGATTTGGGGTACAAACTCAGTTATGAGTTATGACAATGAAAATTCTTGGAATGATACAGAGGAGTTCTTCAGATGAAACAAATTTCAGGTGCTTACCAAAGTCAAGTGCCATTAAGCTGATTGATTTTGGTAGTACTGCATTTGATAATCAGAACCATAGCTCCATTGTTTCCACGAGGCATTACAGAGCCCCTGAGATTATTCTAGGTAACCAATTATTGTGTTGGAAAATAAGAATGTCGTTTTCCCTTTGTTTTCTTAGAGTTGTGTTCTATTCCAAGTGTAGAAACTCATCTGTAGTCTTCAACTCTATTCCTGCGTTACAGGATAGGCAAAAGTATACTTTCCAATGGCATACTTCCAGGTGCCATTTTAGTTAAGGATGAATGTTCTAGAATCACATTACAGAATGATCTAGATTCTAGAATGTCTACCTGAAAAATACTTACGGGAGATTTATATAGCCCCTCCTTTTTAGTAACATGTCTTTTGAGTATGTTCTATCAATTCAATTGCTTGTCTGGATTATTAGTTTTATATTTTATTCTGTTGGCTCCTTTTTACCAAGTTTGTTATACTTATGTTTTGAAATTACATTTTGACACTTTCAAGTTTTAAGTGGCACAACTTTTTTTTGACACAAATATATACGTTTGTGCAGGTCTAGGTTGGAGCTATCCGTGTGATCTGTGGAGTGTTGGCTGTATACTTATTGAATTATGCACGGTTGGTCCGGTATTTCTTGAGACACATTTAGTTTCATTCATGTGTGGAACATGGATCTTACCCTGAATTATGTGCAGGGTGAGGCATTATTTCAAACCCATGAGAACTTGGAGCATTTGGCGATGATGGAGAGGGTTTTAGGACCTCTTCCTGAGCATATGATTCGAAGGGCTAAGTAAGTTCCGTAGTTATCTTTTAATCTCGTAATCAACTGATTGTAGTACATGTCTCACCTTAGTTTGGTTTTTACCACAGCCGGGGTGCTGAAAAATATTTCAGGAGAGGCTCTAGACTAAATTGGCCTGAAGGAGCAGTATCTAGGGAGAGTATTAGAGCTGTTAAGAAGCTTGATCGTCTGAAGGTGTGATTTCATTTTGTGTAACAAGTGACATGCTTGTTTTTGTTCCCTGATCAAAACTTGTATATTTCAGAATATGGTATCACATCATGTAGAGAACTCAAGATATTCACTGGCCGACCTGTTGGAAGGTTTATTGAAGTATGATCCATCCGAACGTCTCACTGCACGCCAAGCTCTAAATCATCCCTTTTTTAGGTACCCAAGTTAAGTGGAAAGATTAAATTAATTGTTTCGTAGTGCATGGATATATATTTATGGGAGACAAATGGCGAAGGCCTGAAATTTTGAGATTCCCTTTGTATGTGTATATTAATAATGTTGGTTTATCGAAATATAGTTGCATCTTCTGCGAACTCCTTTCTCGACATTTCTCGGTTGGCTTCAAGCACTGAGCTAGGTGGGTGTCACATCCCACCCTTCGTTTGGCCTTACTGGCAAGCTATCAATTAGGTCCATAGTTTTTTGCTTTGTGTAGGATTCTAGGCTTGATATTTATATTCACAATTGAGGGATTCTTAACCGCGGATGCATGTTTGCATCGCTCCACAAATAGCAAATTCAACTCGGTTGTTTTGAATCTCCTAAATCCCACATGATTAATGCGCTCTCAAGTTATTACATTCTTGGCTCTAATCTTCTTGTTAATAAAAATAATCCACCAATACTTCGGTCATGGTTAATGGAAATAATTTTTGGGGAAAACGCCGCTCAACATGAGCCTTAATGCAGGTAGACGTGTGCATAATTATCAGATTAGGAATGTTAAACGAGAAGCTAAAAAAATATATAATACCTAACACGTGCAGAAAATAATCAACAGGACTTTGCATATGTGAAGAGAGGGGAGAGAGAGAGGTCACATGACAATTTGGTTAGCCATGGCTACGATTGGTAGCTTTGCTTTTATGTGAATAGGCATTTGGGTCAACTTTTTTAGGCTTCCGTTCTGATATAAATATGATATCGGGCTTCCGTTCATTCACTATTGCTCAAATATATGATAAACAAAAAGAATTGCGTTTTGAATTAAACTACTACCGGATTTTGCAAGAAAAAAATGTCAGAAGTATGATATAAATATGATATCGGCCATCCTGACTACGGTGCGAACTTGAGAAACTAAGGCATTACAGTTATTAACTAAAATAAAGCAAAAACAAGCAAAACATTTACCACAAGAATCTTTAGTCGATATTAGGGATGATAATCAATAAGCATGAGAAAGGCATCTTTTGTGATTTCGATAGGCTAAGAAAACTGAATACTAGTTTTTCTCAGTCGAACTATGGTCTAAGGCGGTGATGGTTATAAAAGAACCATATGCTTCTCATAAATTACATCCAAAGACCAATACGGACAATGCTTGCCACTTTACAAAATTATCAACAAAATCTTCCAGGTTAATAGAGAAATAGTTTGAAGAACATAAGCTTTCAGCAATCTGCATGCCCGCTGACTTGGTTCATTCTCAAACTTTTGCTATCAGTTTATAACCCTAGAACAGCATCTCTAGGCAAGCTTTCAGAACCAGATATCCCATTGCTTACATTGTATGATCTGACGAGATATCATCCTCTGAATCAGGCACAATAGTTTCAAGGGCGGAGTTGACAACTGGCCTTTGCCTCGACCTATTTTTTGTGCCAAAATTTCCACTTCTTACAGCAGGATGGCTATCAACTCCAGCCAATCTCTTACTCCGCCGTGATCCCATCGACATGTGTTTCTTATGGTTCTCATTGTTCAAATTTTCATTTTCATCCGCAGAACTTCCCAAGTTGCTACTATTGTTGTCATCGCCATCTGTTCTGCTACTATAATCATCATCATCATCCTCTTTCTCATTACCATTATCACCAGCTTTTTGTAGCTTGTTATCTTCAGTGTCACTACCCATGGAGTTTGCTTTCCCATCTGATCTGTCTTTTGAGACAGAGCCCTCCACATCTGAACCTCCATTGGAGCCAAAAGTTTGTCTTGGAAGCTTCTGCCCCTGGCTTTCCACCTCAATTGTCTTCCTTCTCCTGTATACAGATTGAAGCCACAACCAATAAATGGTTAAGCCATCCAAGAAAAACAATTAGACTAAATCGGTTGTTTAATGCAACTGTAACCTCCCTTCTGAAGGATATTCCTAAAGGCCATTTCAGTTCAAGCAAAAGGTTTGCTAGTACATAATATACATTGGGGGTTTTATAGCAATTTCATTGAACCAGGACACAACAATACACAAACAAGTATATATTAAGCAACTATCACAAAAACCAGAGAGGGGCAGCGGACATGCCCAGTGGCCGTCAGTTTAACAGTTCTCATAACGAAATAAATAAATAATTCAGTTTTGTTTAGAGATCCTACTTAGAAACCCAAACAGAAAGAACTATGCATTTTTTACATGTAATAGAAAAATATATGATTAAGTCAGTAAAGATAACTAAGAAGATGAAGACAAACAACCAATATAATTAGATTAAACAAGTCTTACTTTGTTATTTCTATAGCCTCGTCGATAGCGCGATCATATTCATCTGCATGATTATAAACCCATCATAAATCGATCTTTGTGCTTTTGATTAAAACAAATGCTTTAGTTTACCTAGACTAAAGCACAATAAGATCAGTTCAATAGTAAGATTCAGCTACATCTGACTAACCAGCCTAAGCCTTACCCTATGTTTGATCAGAGTGTTTTCATCCCACAATTGGAAAGACTGGCTTTAAAGGGAAGGGAAGGTGCGAATCCACTCAGTTTCCTTCCCTCCTATTTCCACCCTACCAAATGAAGGAAAGAACCTTCGTTTTTCCTTTTAAAAAGTAGAACACAGATTATACTTAACTATGGCTAAACCCATTTAAGAAGATGGCCAAAAAAGAAAAATAACTCGTGTAAGTTTCATCATTCCCAATCACCCAACATATAAGTGAAGTCATTAACTTGACCTTTCTAGCGAGCATGTCATAATTCAGTTAAGCTAAAAAAATATATATAGCAATTTACACATGTTTATAGCAAAAAAGATGAAATTCATCAATAATCTATGACAGATAATTGGATTGGAACAATTGCAGGAAAGAAGTTTCCATCATACCAAAAGTGTAACTGACAGGCCTACGATTGCGACATGTGCGGGTAATACCAGCACAAGAGGAACTTCTAAAGCTACTCAGGAGCATCTCTTGCCTTTTCTTCCGGTTCAGTGCCCTTTCTTTCTTCTATATTACATAATATTGAACATGTTTACTAACATATATACCAAATAAAACAGAAACACAAGAACAGTGCGATACACCAGATTTACTTGAGGATAAAAAAAAGACCTGTCAAACTTACCTTTTGAAATTTCTCCACAACAGGAATGACATCATCATTGATAGTCTTGCCAATAGCAACTTCCGCTGCAATCTTGCTAGCCATTAGAGTATCCTTCCGTTTACAGCAAGAAAGAAAAACATTACATATCATTTTCATTTCGAAAGAACAAATAAATATTGTGAACTTACCACAACTTCACGAAATTCCTTGAAATCCACTGCAAGGGTTTCCCAGTGAGAACAGACAGTTGGCAAGGTTAAACGTGCTTTCCCCTTAGCTTTTGATTGAGGCTCCATCTTTTTAACTTCCCTGTATAATCTATACCCAAAGACTGTATTTCCATCATACCTACAAACAAAAGAGAACTCATCAACACAAATCATAGGACTGATTTTACAGAATCCATAACACAGTAAAGAGTTACCAATATGAAACATTCCCGTTTGCCCCTATCTTCTCTTTTCGGAAGCAAGAAGTTTCTTTATTACTTTTCATAGCATCATTAATGTATGACACTGCATCGTTTTGCTGTAGAATAGAAACCCATACAGAAGTTAAAATGTCATAGAATTACCACATAACATTCATCTCAAATTTTCATTTACTGAATTAAAAATTGGACATTGATTGTGGGATGATGCAAAGAAACCATTCCAAACAACGCATGGATGAACATAATGATGGATAGAGAGGCGATCACTTGTTCAATAAAAAACTATAAGGAATTCAAAAGGATGATAGATTACATCTGCTCGAATTTCGCAAAGTGCTTTTAAGAGAAGCAAGCGGCTTGTTGGATCAAGTTCTTTGTATTTAGATATCTCCTCTCTGCAAAACAATAAAACAACAAAGCAAGAGAGCTCATTCAAAGCATGATCTACCATTGAGGATTAAGTGTGGAACTGTGGATTTATCCATTAAAACAAACAGACTATTATCACTAATACCCATTGCGAGCAGTGAGCAGAATCTCTCCCTCAGCAACCTGCAGTAATGGACAATAAAATGAACGATCATAAAACTCATCAAGTCATTCAGACTGCCCTAAAGTTGGCATATCCAGTAGCAAAGTTTTGCCTCACCCATGGCCACCACATTGTAAGTTTTTTGCAAAGTGCAGTCATCCATCCATCAGAGTCCTTCAACAATTTACTCAAAGGGGGCGTCCCCTGCCAACAAACATTTTAATTTAAGACATAGTAAAGAGAAAAGAAAAACTCAAACATGAAACCTTTTATATAGGAAAGAATCACAAATCATAGAGCAATAGCTTTACAATCCAACAAAGAGCAAATACATTACTTAGTAAAGGTAGTTTCTAGTGCCAATAGTGTAAAATGTTTATATACAGGCTCAACTCAATGTAATTATAAGCAATATCTACACTACGAAATCACATTTTAGGAAAACAATTATAAAAGATTCTAATTCGGCACTTATTAATCTACAAATTTATCAAATTCTAAGAGAAATAACAGAACCATCAAAAGTCTGATATGAAGTGCAGCAATTGAAGCATTAGGTTTAATCAGCCCTAACTCGATCTCTTCCGCCGATAGCTTCAAATCACTCCCTATCACAGGCTCAAAAACCTGTCAAAACGGACGATCAATTACAAACACTGATCTCTGTTCTCTCACATCATGATCTAAGTTTAAACAATGTGTTCTGAAACAAAAGGAAAAAAAATATCGCTCTTACAATAAGGAAGTTGAGAACCGAGGCGAGTTCCCATCTACCACGTAGCTTGGCGACCTCCGACTCGATAGACGAATCGTCCAAAATCAAGACCGAGTCATTTCGGGACCCCTTGCCTTCCACCGGCACCTCTGCTTCGGGAGTGGGTTTTCCTCCACCAACGACCATATCTATAGAGAGAGAGAGAACAAAGATAAAAGGATTCACAGAAGAAAATAAAAGTGCCGTTTGATAGAGTGCGTGTGAGGTTTGTCGAGGGTATTGAAAGAGAGGGGAGAGGAGGGGAAAAGTACGAAAGTTTCCCGCCTAAATGAATATTTCTCAATAGTGAATCTGATGGCAGATTAGGAACTTTTAGGGTTAATTTTTCTTGGGACTGTCAAATTTCAGGATTTTACCTTTGCATTTCCCTCACTACCCTAGCACCGTTTAATAACTTAGGAATCATCTGCATCTTCCAAACTCATCTTTGGTGTCATTTGATTTGGTTTAGTTTTTCTTTTCGAAATGATCGGGTTCAATTCAATTGTTTAATTTTATTTTATTACAAAATTATTATTATAATTATTAACATAAGTCAGGCTGTATAAAATTATTACAAAATTATTATTATAATTATTATTATAATTATTAACATAAGTCAGCATACCAAATATATTATAAAGATGTATTCAATGATACTATTTATAACAACCAATAACAGTATGTCAGTTATATATAAATTTTTTTCTCCGAAATTTGCTACTTATTTTCGAACTACATTTGAACTTTAAGCTTCCACTTCGTACTTCCTTTATGCCAGAATAGCAATAATAGCTATAGTAAGAGTCAGAAATGGATTCAAAGAAGCCAAAGTAGCAGGCATATGTATATTTTGACATGCGTACACCTTCAAATTGCTCAATTACTTTTATCAGGAACCTCGTATTAGTCGAGGAAAATCCAACTTATTTGAAAAATGCGCATTTCTTGTTTTATTTATATTCAAATTGGCATATACATATGCATACCCAATGAGTCAATATTGCGATAAAGCCACAGATAAAATTGCACTGCACCCAAAGTCTCAAGTTCAGGAACCTTTCTTTGCAAGTGTGGAGTGTGTATGAAAGTCATGTGAAAGTTTCTCCATTCTTTAGCAAATTTGCTCTGCTTTGATTGAATAATCTCCATTCCAAGAAAATACTTTGTACCAAGATCTTAGATTTCAAAGTTAGCTGCAAGTTGACTTTTTAGCTTACTGATTTCTTCAAAGTAATCTCTTGTTATGATAATGTCATGAACATAAACGATAAGGATAACATTTTTACCTTTTGATGAAACCTACAAGAACAATGTGTGATCTCACTAGCACAGACCGTATCCATAGTTAATTACAGCTTTGTTAGACCTTTCAAACCATGTACGAGAAGACTGTTTTATGTCATACAATGACTTCTTTAGCTTGCATACTTTGTAGCCATTTGAGGAATTCTCTAAACCTGGAGGCATCTCCAAGTACACATCTTCATCAAGATCCCCATTTAGGAAGAGGCCAATCTTCATTTACTGCCAATGACAGTAATACTTTAACTGTATTTAGCTTATCAACAGGTACAAAGGTCTTCTGGTAATCAATTCCATTTGACCGGGTGAACCCTTTTGCCACCGGCCTTGCTTTAAATCTTTTAACACTATCAGCCCATTATTTTCTTTCCTTGTGGTAATTCAGTGAGTACCCGTGTTGCATTACTCTATAGTGCATTAATTTCTTCTTCAACAACCTTTTTCCATGCTGGATTTTTCAATGCTTCTTGGACTGACCTGGGAATTTGTATGCTGTCAAGAGACATAGTAAATGCTTTATAAAATGGTAGTAATTTTCCATAGGCTACATACCTCTCAATAAGATATTTAATGCACTTTCGAACACTTTCTCTGAGCAATAGGCAGACATAAAATATCAATAAAAGAAACAAGAGTCTTACTATGTGAAGATTCTATACCTGTGTCAATTTCTGAGGCAAAAGGATCCCGTTCAAGTTCTTGACAATTTCTTGTATGTGTGATGTCATATGTATTCTCTGTGGGTCAATCCTTCCTAGTATATACATAAAGTACCAAGTACACGGCTATATCCTACTGATTTCACTAGCCCCATCTTTCCCAAACATTTGTTTCTTGTCCTGTCTTTTTCGGTAGACTCACGCGACCATCACAGCAGCCTCTTCTCATGAGATTTAGCTATCAAATTGCTTCACAGATATATAGATATAAGAATTTTCTTTCAGTTTGCAAAATTTTAATTTGAGAATGAACTGACTGTTTTTTACATAGGATATTATCCATAAGCAAATAGTCTGGTACTCCTACAAGCTGTTAGGGACTGTATCATTTGCTTCAGCCACACTATCAATTCTTGCATCTATGTATTCCTAATTGTGAAGACAAACAACAGTAATATTCTGTCACACTGGAACAAATGTTCATCTACAGCTGGAAAAGGCTAATTCAAGAATATTGGAGGCATCATGCATGGTTTTGCTTGGTTGAAAAACAGCTTTATGAGTTATGAGCTAACTGCTATTTTTCATTTTCAGTCTGAAGCAGGGAAAAAACTTCCATTTTTCCTTGTGATTAATCTTGAGGTACGCATGTGGATGCATTTCTACCTACTTTATCAGCTAATGTTCTTAACACACCTGCCATAGACATGAAATTTTAACAATTGCATAAGATGGAAAATTCTCTTCTGTTTTAAAAGCCTAATCTTGAAGAAAACTAACTATTAAAAGCTGAAAGTTGTTTGCTTGGGACATATAGGTTTGAGATCATTATTGGTAATGACGCTTAGGCCATATTTCTGAACACAAAATGATGTGCTCATAGAAAGAAAGGCTAATCCTGAAATACGCATGTATACAGTGGATGATATGAAGACTAAAGTTGCAAATGTTGAACAAATTTTATTGCTGTGGAGTGTGGGTGATCAATGAAGATCATGCTCTGACCTTTAGATTCACTTTCTACTTTTCTCCTAAGCATACCGACTTTGGTGGTTAACAATGGGAATATTTGTGGGGGGGGGATTTTTATGGAATTAATTTTCACGTTGCGACAAATTTACTTTGGTTTTTCAAAGAGGATATATGTTTTGGCGTCTTTCTTTCAGATTCCTGCAAAACCGAACTATAGTTTGGTCCTCTACTATGCTGCTGACCGGCCTGTGAATAAAGATTCTTTGCTGGAAAAGTTTTTGGATGGAACAGATGCGTTTCGTGATTCAAGATTTAAACTGATACTAAGCATTGTTGAGTTATGGAATGCCATGTTATAAACATCTCGACTGGTTTTTATCTATTGTTTTAATGCTACTGAAAGGCTTAGTTGTTGCTAAATGCACACAGGGGTGCGTGCAGTTGGAACAAAAGTCTGCCTACTTGGGAAAGCTGTTTCGTGCAAATATTTCAGGCAAGACAATTTCCCGGAGGTAATTCAATCTAAGATTTTTTCTATTTTCTTTGCCTCGGAAGGCAAGCTAGTATTGCTGAATCTACAATTTATTTTAGGTATGAAATTGATGCACTTTGTCCAGGAACTACAAATATATGAAAACAGAGAATTTCATGGTTTAATTAAGCATGCATAAGCGGCATGGGATCAAGTGGGAGCTTGAATGTAGTTTATTCCTCATGCCAAGTCGGGGATTTTATTTTAATCTTGTAGGCCACATAGTATCACGATCTAAAGTCATTTGATATCTCTATATCTTAGTTCCACAGCAGTGATATATTCTTCAATGATCTCTAATATATTTCTATTTTAAGTTTTTAATGCCTCTTGTTGTAATTTTCCAAAGTTGACAAGCAATTCTAGACTGGTATGAAGTTTTATTGATTAGTTAGATAAGGTCTTTCCGATCCTCCTTTACTGTTGCTGAATCTTCTATTATGCAGATTGACGTGGACATTGGATCATCATCAGTAGCAAGAAGTGTTATTGGCCTTGTCCTTGGATACGTCACAAGCTTACTAGTATATCTTGCAATACTAATAGAGGTTTGTGCTTGTTCATCTGAGAAATTGAACTGTATGAGGAATTAGCTGTGAAACTTTGGGGCATGATTGAGAACTATCTGCTGAATATTCTCTTCTCAGTATTCAAAACTGTGTTCTGGGAACAAAAAGGGGAAACAGAAAGCAGTCCTGATTGCATAGAAATGCAATAGAAAACTTAAGCTTAGATACCGATGAAATGCGGAGTATATATTTAAGGCAATGTTGCTCGGATTCTAGGCAGTGTTCGACTGAATCGAGTGAGGCTTGAATCTGCCATACCACCGGATGGGTGATGTTTTCCACTTCTACTCTCCCTGTCTTCAAGCATCTTGTGCTCCAAGGTTGCCATAACTATGACTAAACTCCAGTTTTCAGCATCTCCTGTGGTGCAGTACAAGACTTATTCGATAAGTTTGGCTCCCAAAAATTTTAGTGACATTTTCAATCCCGAATTCTGTATCTTTTAAGTATGAAGTTTACTTGCTCCGAGAAGACTAGCATTGGGTTCATATTTGATCTGCCATATTTGGTAAAACCCGTGGCTAAAGAAACCACGTGAATTTACGTTTCAACAATAACATTTTCCCCCTTCCAAAGCATGAACGATATTATGTTATTTTGTACAAAAAGTTTCCCACATTCATTGAGATTCTTTTCAATGCCCTTTGGGTTTATTGCAATCTTTTAATTCAAAATCATTTGTTACAATATTTTGTTAAAAAAGAAACATATTTTCTTGAATTTAAATATTTAAAATAATTATTTAATCAATTGATAATATAATATTTTAAGTTCAATTAGAAACAAAGTGTAATAATATATTTTGTTTTATTTTTCTTGTTAAATGTTTACTATAAGCCGTTGATTGAAAATAATAATTTGTATTAAAGAAGATTCTTTGTAGTACTAAATTTATTTTTATCGTATAATTAATCTTATAAATAATATAAATTAGGATTATAATAAGATTCAATTTTAAGATATATAAAAAGATCTTAGAACCGTAAACTCTTATAATCTTGACCTATTATAGTTAATTTATCTTCTTAATTTTTCTTTTTCAAGTAAATCTTGATGATATTATTTTTAATTTTATTTATTTTTCTTAGTTTTATCTTTATGTTTGCAGTAATAAACATAATTACTGTGTAACCATAAGTTAAAACTTGTTGCTGA